CAATTTGCTGCCACTACAGCTGGTTTTGGTCCCAGCAGGAGGAGGGTGACAGCCCTGCCCATGCCACACAGAGAAAAGGGTCAGCGTGGCTGGTGTGTGTGATCTGAACTAAACGTGTTTTGGAGAGATCATGGCTTGGCTTGGAAGGGATCTTAAAGATCGTGTAATTCCAGCCCAGCCATGGCAGGGACACCTCCCACTGTCCCAGGCTGCTCCAAACCCATCCAGCCTTGCCTTGGCCACTGCCAGGGACCCAGGGGCAGCCAGAGCCTGCCCAGGGAACAATTTTTTCCTAATATCCAATCCAAAGCTGCTGTCTTTCACTTTGAAGCCATTCCCCCTTGTCCTGTCACCAGCTGCTCTTGTGATGCCTGTCCTCTGGAAACCTGACAATTTTCCCCTTGCTGTAGTAATTATTGTTTCTGTTATTAATCATTGCCATCATCTTCTGCAGGTTTTTTTCGTTCTTTTTTCAATAATTCACTCTATTAGGTACAGGCTTGGCTCCCAACAAGAAATTACAACAGCTCAAGGCGTAGAGGGATATAATTTTGCCAAGATCTGCAAACCAAGCACAGAAAGTCACTGTACTTTGTGTACTTGATGAGGCCAACAGATCATGTGCTCACACCCCCTCCCTTTGTCACATTAGTCCTCAAGATTTCTGCAGGAATATTCTTGCTGGAAACTACCACTGAATGTGAGTAATAGTATCAGTTTGGCCTTTGTGGAAAGATCATTAAATCACAACACACTGAGAAGGGACAAGAGTCCTCAGGCTCATTTCAGAAGCTATTTTTAGCCTTGGATATGAAGACTTTTCTTATCAAATAATTAGTCATCAGCAGTAAAGGCAAGTTAACTTTTCAGAATAAAATAGGAAGTCATTGAAACCTTTTCTGAGTTTCCAAAAAAAGGTTGATTTAGAGATCACTGAAGCCTCTGCACCTGACTGTAATTATTTAGTAACAGAAAATGGGAAAGCACAGAAAAAAAAAGAATTGAAACTCTTACAATCCCTGCCTTATTTGAAGGAAAAAGTGCTGCAGATAAAGACATTTACCCAGATTTCTGTGTTGTATTGTAGAGGTGCAGGGGGATCATAAATTTTTTTTTAAAAAAGATGTTTTACAGCCAGAGTAGTCTTTTGCAGGAAAAAAAAAAAAAAAAGGTGAAATCCTGAGCAGCCATAGAGATCACAGAGCAGCTCCATATTCTTGGGAAATGATGTTCTGACTACAAAATAACGCTGTCACAAAATAAAAAAAAAAAAAAAGAATGCCAAAAGCTGTGTAAATTTGTGGTGAGGGGCTCGTCACTTGTAAAATAGTGGAGATAATGATGCTGCTGTGCCTGGCACTGGGTACATTTCATCTGGATGGCTGCATTCCATCCCAGGCACACAGATAAATTGGCAGAGTTCAAGGGAGAGTAACAAAAAAAGAATGAAAAGGGTTGAAAAGGAGACCTACAAGATAAGATTAGGGAAACTGGGTATAGCTGGACTGGAACAAATTAATCTAAATGGCAGGAGGGAGGATTTAGGTTTTAAGTATGAACCAACCTTTATAGCTTTAAGAAAAGTTCAGCCATGGAACAAGCTGCCAAGGAAGGTTTTAGCCTTACCATCACTAGAGATACTAAAAGGCAGGAGACCATCTGTCAGGGAGAGTTTAGGGATTTAAAAAAAAAAAAAAACAGAAAAAAAAAATGCACTGCCTTAATTTAAGAATTGAGCTAAATAACCCATTCGTGACTAGACTTTAAGGGATTAGAAATGGCACAGCTTCTCTTTTGAGGGGAAGCTCCTGGATCTTTCCACTCTGAAGATTTTCTTGATCATATAAACCAATACAAGGGATTTCTGCTGTTTTCAGATTGAGAAGGATATTTGCATTTAAATGCTTCCAGGAGATAGATGTCTAAATATTAACTTCATCATATTGATAGTACACTCTGCTTTTTTCCCATCAGGCTTTGAGCACTTATCTAGGGCTAATATTGAATAAAGAATTACAGAACCATGGAATATCCTGAGTGGGAAGGGACCCACAGGGATCATCAAAGTCCAACTCCTGGCCCTGCACAGACATCCCAAAATCCCACCCTGTACCTGAGAGCGTTTTCCAAACACTCCTGGAGTTCTGGCAGCCTTGGGGATGTGATCACTACCCTGAGGAGCCCATATAACAAATTATCACCTTACTTCTTCTTCTCTGGGACCCTTTTCTCCCCAGCCTCAGCTCCTCTAAGAGGCACTCAAGGCAGTCCTGTTGAAACTTCTGGAAAACCCAGGTGCCCCTGGGTTACCATTTCCCTCCTGTCATCTCCACCTGCAGCAGGTTTGGGAAGCACAGCTGCCGTGGGGCCGGTGGTGATGTATCATGGCTGTGTTATATCATATTGTTTCTCTCTCAAGGCTCCTAGTGAAGCTGCTCTTGGGAAATCTCTGAATTCTGCTAAGTGACATTTTCCATCTAAGTAACATTTCTAAAACAAGTTGTTAATTTTCCCAGGAGCTGAGGCCAGTGGGAGCAATGGTTTGAACAAGGCAGGTGTTGTGCACCTGAGCTCCTCCACAGGCCATGGGTGAACCTCGTGCAGCCCTGGTGATTTATTTGCATTAATTTGTTAATTACTTAAGAGGGTCAGTTCAGATGGGATATTGGGCAGGAATTCCTCCCTGGCAGGGTGGGCAGGCCTTGACACAGAGTGCCCAGAGCAGCTGGGGCTGCCCCTGGATCCCTGGCAGTGCCCAAGGCCAGGTTGCACACTGGGGCTTGGAGCTCCTGGGACAGTGGATGTTCCCTTCCTATGGAAGAGAAGGTTAGAAAGAGATGATTTTTAAGAACCCATCCAACCCAACCCATTCCATGGCTCAATTCTATGATCCTGTGATTTTGCCAGGTTGCTCCAAACTCTGAGTTGTGGGAGCCTCTGCTCTGGGCATTAATCCAAGACTCATTTCTACTTTCTGTGAAACCTCCACTTCCCCACTTCCCCCACAGGTCTGGCTGTGGTCTACTTTTCTGTCTTTAACTTGATAGACTCCACATTCTTTGCTGTTTTCCTTGTGTGGGCACTCCTGTGCTTTTTGATGGCTTTTGGTTCCTCCTTTTGTTCTCCTCTGTGTTTACTTCCACAGGTTATTTTACAGCCCAGGCAACGATGTGAACTAAGGATTTCAAAGGCTCAGGCAATTGTTCTGATCACTCAGCTGTAGGTTTTTCTCCTCTGGGATAATCTGGCAGCAATTTGGAGCAGAGGCAGCATGGATGTGTCCAGGGAGGGTGTGGGTGTTGGTAGCAGGAGCCAGAACCCATTTCCTGCAAAATCTACTGCTCTGAATATTCTTCCATGTTACCTATGGGAACTTCATCAGCACAGATATCCCCCTAATTTAAATCTTTCTTTCCATTATTCACAGTTAGGCAGAGCTCAGTGAGTGTCTGGAAAAGGCTCACATTATCCCTGGAATATTTAACTGTCTTTCACCCATCCTGATTTAATCCAACTCCTTTTCTCATCTCAGCCAAACCCAGATAGGTCTTTGAAAAGAGAGAGTTAGTGGTAAGAAAAGAAATTAACAGCTGTCACCTTGGATGTGGGCAAAGGATGAGTGAAGATCACGACTCAGGAGCAAGAAAGCTCTTGAAAGAGCATGAACTGAACCTGTGTGCAAACACATTTACATAAAAAGGAAATTGTCTGTTGGGGCAACTGCAATTATTCCAAATTTCATGCCAGATCACTGTTTCCTCGTTGTGTTTCACTGTACATTAGGGCTGTGTCTGTAAGATGCACTCTGAACTGCATGTTGAAGCAAAGCCCTGCTGCTGAAAGAGCTGTAATTCATTTACTAGCAGCCCCTGTTGCTGGGCTTCAATAATGCAATCGTTTTCTGTGTGTCCCAACCATATGATTATTCCTGTTGTGTAGGAAATTTAAGTCCAAGGAATGTCAGATCAAATATAAAAGCCTAGTGCTTACCCATAGTTTTTATTCAATTAAGTAGCCATTACAGAGCTCATGCTGTTTCAAATGACATAATGCAGAACACAAATGCAGTCTTTTATTACAAATGTATGTTCATCTAAACAAAATGGCACCAAAACAATCCAAAGCCATTACAATTTTTAGATTATTATGCTTAGGCTATTATTATATGGTGAGCAGTCGCTGTGAAAGACAAGTGGGGGAACTGGGGCCTCCACGAGCCACACTTCGAGCACAGCAGCGCTGTTATTTGAGATTTGTGAAGTTCTTAAATGCAGAGGAACAGTGCTGATAAAAAAAATAATGAAAGCACTGAGCTAGAGCTTGGAGGACGCTGGCTTTGCAGGTGATGAGTGGGAAAGTCATGCCTAGGACCTGACACAGACAGAAGTGGCACAGGCAGGATCTGGGCAGCTTTAGGTGTTTTGTTTCTAGAACAAAATGAGTTCTAGAACACTCTGTGATTTCCCAGCCAGTCTCAAACACCTCACCAATGTCTGCAGATGCTTTCTTCACTGCCCACAGGATTTCTCCTGCTCAGCATCCCTGAGGGCTCCCCGTAACCAGCACGGAGCCTGAGCTCTTGGCACCACCACTAAAATGATGCCCAGCATCACAAGTGCCTTAACCTGCAGGTGGTTTTTTCCTTTTTCCTTGTAATTCCACAGCTCTGCACCTCTCCAGCATTGCTGCCCCCCTGGAGGAGTGAAAGGCTGGCAAGGCTGTCACCACTCACTCCCCAATTTCAGACACGTCGCAGCTGCTTTTTGTTGATCCAAAGCTGGGCTAGCAGAGTGATAAAGGGGCTCAAAGCTGAACACACAACAGTGCAAATGGACACAGGAAACCTGTTATTTACTCCTTAAATACTGAAAATAATAAGGAAATGGAGATGGCACAGAAACTCTTGTTGCTTATGTAGACTGAAAAACAGCATCAAGAAATTAGAGTTTAGACGGTCAGTTTCTATTTTTACGGACAAAAATCAATCCCAAACTTCCAAAGGTATTTTGTGTCTGGTTTATTATTTTCTTTCCATAACAGTCAATGAGGTCCAAGATCTCTGAATGTTATCATGCAAAGAGGAAGGACAGGCACAATTTCCCCACTCAAACCACTTTATTGACACACTTGCAAGACAAAAATAAACTGCTCCCTGCTTCCTACACCCATCATGCCAGCTTCTGTCTGCAACTTTCTTTTTGTTGTTGTTTTTACGTTCAGCTCATTACAAGTCATTTTATTTTCACATTTTGCTGGCAGCTGGAATTCTCCAAATGAGGGAAGCAGGGCTGGGATGCATCTATCTGATCCCTCAGCAAAAATCCCTGCGACATACGGTGCTGTTATGACTCTGAGCTTTAGGTGGAGAGGGAAACAGGCATCTGGGCTGGGTTCATTTGTAACGCTGCACTTGCTGGATTAATATGGAAAGACAGATGAAGGCAGACACTTTAATTACTTCACCCTAACTTTTTATTACAACATCAAGTAAAATGGTGAGTTACAGAGGGTAATGGGTGTGAAACATCTGGGATGAAGTCGCACACAAGCTCATGGGTTGTTATCTGCCAATGGGGTTTTAAATATTGATAATTTCTGTACATGCATCTTTGTGTTATTTCTGATCTTCTGGATAAATCATCTCAGGATTACTTTGTTTTGAGCTGTGAGGTAGCTACTAGGACTGGGACCCCGCTTTTTTCTTCTGGAATTTTCTGAACTGGGACTGTATTGCCACGGCCGCCCGCTCTGTCTCTGGCGCGTCCATGTCTATGTCAAACTCCTCCTGGACCTTCTTTTGCCCATCTGCTCAAAGGAAACAGAACAAAAACATCAACAGGTGTTTCAGACAGGGATAATCACTAAACAGCACAGGTGGAAAATTCTGCTTCTTTCTCTTTCTTCACTCATCCAGCATCTGGGCAAGTCCCCCCCAGCCCAGGGAGCCAACGGTGAGGGACACAGGGACTCTTCTGTACCACCTGGCAGGGAGAACTTAAAAGTCTTTTCCAACCTAAATTATTCTATGTTTACTCAATAAAAAAAGGACAGATTAAAATACTTTGAAGTAGAGGCATTAAGACCCTATTCTTATCACACTTCCAACACGAGAGGAAGAGATAATACTTCCTAAGGCTAATTTCCATCCTTTCCACTCATTTCCTGCCTCATCCCTTCCAACACACACAGCTCTTTCCCTTTGAATCATTTATGTCCAATCTCTCCACCACTGAGCTGCTTCCCTCACTTCTCTCCAGGCTCTGCTCTTGTCTTTCATCCTCGATCCTTGGCTCTTTGCCTTCCTTTATTCCCAGGCCTCAGCTTTCCCTTCAGCTGCATTTGGCCTCCACGTGGACAACCCAGCTGACTCTGCTGAATTTTCCTTCACCCACCTACAAGTTAAAAGTGCAGCCCTGAGAAACTTCCTGCCCTGGTTGCAAAGATAACCCTAAAGTGTCTGGAGTGAGTCAGTGGGAGCACTAACCTCGTCACAGCAGCGAGTTTTTCACCACAGACTTGTTTGTTAAACTCATTTATGTCACTGCTGTGTGAACGTCACGCCAGGAGCCTGCAGGGAGCTCTACTTGGGGGAATTCACCCATTTTGAAGCACTTTGCTTTTAACTCTTGCCATTAATACCTCCAGGATGCTCATCCCCAAGTACCGTAAATGCAAATAAAGGCAACGCTTTCCAAGTATTATTAAAATGAAATTTATCCCCCGTTGTCTCTGTCCTGCACAAAAAACAGGGATGCCATTCCATGATTTTTAGCATGAGTCCTGCAGTATTTCTTGCCTTTACTTCTCATTCTTACTCAGAACTCAGTTTTTGTGTCCACTTTAAACTGAGAAAATATTTGAAGGGAAGGTTATGCAATATTCCATATTGATTTTATTTTAACTACAACAACCAAATAAATGCAGCTATGCTAACCTAAGAGAAATGTTCGCTTAGTATTTTATTAGCAAACATTATTATTTAGTAAATATATTAGTAAATTATTGTTTAGTAAACAATGAGAGATGAAGAGAGATGAAAATGGAAGAAGGAAGAGAAAATCTGGATGAAAAGAACAGCTTGAGAGCTCACCAAGTTTTATTTTACAGGCTAATGAAAAGCTAAGCTATCAAAACAACGATTTTTGTGGAAGAAAATCAATCCATTAACTTTATGTCATTAAATCACAGAACCACGTCATTAAATCCAAGAATCTGCATGGTTTGTGTAACTATTGGAGCAATACAACCACCCTAATTACAGAAATACAATTACAGTTTATCTTCCGTGGGGAAAGGGACGTGAAGGTCACAAGTGACACAGCCAAGGGAAAACTGGAACTGATTTTCATTTGGTATTTATGGGTTAAAGGCTACCTAACAGTAAAAGTGGAGTCTATCCATAGATTTTAGCCTTTCAGTGTATTAATTACTGTCCTTTGGAAATGCCAGTTGGGAAAACCAGATGGGTGGATGAGTAGACACAATTGGGTTTGTATCTCTTGATGAAATCTGGTTTGTACAGCTCATTTCCTATTAGAGCCAAGTTTTAGCACTATCTTAACTTGCAACAGTGACTCAGCAATCTCGTGTTAAGACCTAAGAAAATGCAGCATTTAGTGTAATTCGTCTCTAGAATTTCCAGGACACTTAAATCTTTGATTGATGTGTATCCTCATCACTGCCTTAAAAATCAACTGTAACACAATAATTTACAATGTCTTAAGGTTTGACTTCCTTTTATTTTTTTCTGACCCGCTGTTGTTGACATCAAAACCAAAATTCCATATGCACTCTTCCTATATTTCTATTTTCCTATCACCACTGAGAAATGGTAGGACGAGAAATTTTCAGCCACGACTTAGACTTGTGATTAAGAAATTAGAAGTATTCAAAAGGGCCAAGATATTTATATGAATAATGAAAAAATTAATAATTGGCTGTAGGGATATATAATATAGTATTAGGGATATAGTAGGGAAATATAATGTGCGTAATACACATTATAAAGCAACATATGCATTATCTATATACAATGTAATTGACATACCTGTAAAAATTACCTTCTCCCTATGCTCATATTTCACTTTTTTATACATGTATGGTCCATCCACATTTGCATACACAGAGAATATATATTAATAAATATATATTTGCACATACATAGAGAGTTTAAGTCCTCTGTTAAATCTGAAAAGATATGGATTGGGTATTTCCCAAATTTTGGGAGTGGATTTTCTTGGAGTTCTCCCCAAACCATTTTCTATTGATACCTGTCACAACACAGATACTTTAACAGATGGACTGTCTGGAGAGAAAATTCAGTGGGGTGCCAGCTGGGGTTTTGTCTAAGGGAATAAAATTTTAGCTTTTACCTTGAGCTGCTTTCCTAAAAGCAGCCTTGTGATTTTGCACACCCTGCAAATGACATGGTTTTAGTGGTTAGGAGCAGGAGTTCCAACTCCCTCGTGACAGGGGAGCTGGAACCAGGTGATCTTTAAGGTCCCTTCCAACCACACCATTCTATGATTCTACAAATTAAGAATTAACCAATTAATTAAAATGAAAACCCAGCCTGGGCTCAGGACCGGCACAGACTAGAAATCACCTCACTGCACTGATAAAAAGACTAAAAGCCTTTTTGCATCCTTCCTGCTCCATATCCACCCATGCCACGCTAACTTCTACCTGTCAGTAGCTGTTCACATATCTCAAGCGTGCAGGCTGTTGGATTTGAGTCCTCAAATCATTAAATTTCTGCACAGAGATGAAAGCAAGCCCGTAGAAACGCTCCTCTTTCATGCACCATCTCCCACTCCTGGTTCTCCTTTCACAAGGGATAATTATCTTGGAAATTGTGTGAAAACCCAGGAAATTCTCTCTCTCAGCAGGCCACAGCACAAGAAAGCACTGGCACAGGTTTGACTCTTGGACTTGATTTTTTCATTCCTACTGGTGAGGGCCAAGCATTCTGATAACAAACCATCTTCTTCCAAGCTACCTTTATGTGGCAATAAAGGTGGATCAGGATTCCCTCCCCACCCTCTTCCACACAAAACCTTCTGTTGGTATCTTCACTTTCTAAATTACATGATGATTCTTTCCACATGGATATCTGAGGATCACTGAGCTATACCCACCCCCATGAGAAAACCAGGGAAAACAAAACTGCTGTCAGCAGACTTAAACTCAGGAGCTTCTTGTGATTCTATGGGATTCAGAGATGGTTGATAAGCCCTGGCCTGCATTTTCTGCTTTTTGTGGGGGGATCTGCTTTCACCATAATAAATAAATGCCCCTAAACCCTCCCACTAAACACTGCTATTTCAAGGTTTTCCCTGAAAGATTTTCCCTGAAAGATTGCTGGACTCTCCTGAACACAGCCTGACAAACCAGGGCAGTCAGTGCATGTCCCTGCCAACAGGGGAGGTGAACAATCCCACGCCAGCACTTGCCGGCTACAACAAAAGATTGTTACCCAATGAATTTTCCAAAATCACGTGTTTAACCACGGACTGGCTCTGCTGCCAGCTGAGGCACATCTGCTCAGTGGTGGGACAAACTCCTTGGAACACAACATCAACTGCTTGCTGCCAAGGGGCAGCCCACACCCCAGCACCGCCACACTGCAGGGCTGAAGTCAGAGAACATTTCTAGGGTGCAGGTTTTCCCTCACCACAGGCAGCACTCATCCCAGCAGGAGAGCCTGAAGCAGCAACTAATGAGCTGCTTTCCAAGTCTCCCATCATCTTGTGCTGCTGCAACTGAAAAAAGATCTATGTATTCCCTTTCCAGATGAAACACTCAGCATTAGAATGCTGTCTCCATGGTCTGCTACAGCGCCTCGTGATCCATGGCAAACACTGGATGGATAATGAAGCTGAAGGAAAACAATAAAATCTTACACATAAATCTACCCATCAAACTCTGAAGAAATATGGTGCAAATGTAATTATTCACAAGTTTGCCTCCAGCTATTTCTTTCATTTACTTTTCAACTATGAAGTAAAATGAATTCTGACAACGCTGGGAATAAGAAACATTGCTTATTCCATATGGGCTGAAAGTCTAAAGCAGTCTTGTGTGACATTTGAACACAGCCTAAACAGACCAGTCCTGCCCAAAACTGCTCAGGGAAGGGAAGAGATTGCTGGGGTGGAAAAGGGGACTCAGTCTTTAGTCTCAGAAATTCCCATCTTCCAGATGAAACAGAAATTGCTCGTCACATTCTGGAAAAACCATTCAGCACGAAAAATCACACGGGCTGAAGCCTCAGAGTGGCATTTCACATCTCAGGTGCCATCCTCTGCCCCTGCTCACCCTGCTCACATCTAACAGGAGTTATGGGACCAGACCAAAGATGAAATACACTCATAAAAATACAGTGTTTGGGAAAGAAGATTCAATGGAGTGTGGGACAGAATCACAGTGCCCCGAAACAGGCCAGAAGTGCTATTTTGCCTCAGGCAGGATCATTACCTCCCACTGCTCCAAAGATTTTTCAAGCTGTGACAATCTTTATCCCAAGCTATTAAACCAGCCTGTCCAATGAGGCAGAAAAGCCCCTAATTAAAGAGGACCAAAATGGGCAGGAATCACATGGATGTTGACATCCATGTGGAGCATTATCTTTATGCGATGGAAGAGTCATTTTGTCGGCCCAGACTCCACAGAGAAACCAGACAGATGGAGAAAACATATGGATGCTCAGAGGTGTGGAGGCCACACCTCTCACACACACTCCTCACAAGCAATAGTTTCAAAAGCCAAGAGCTGATGTTGGCCATTCTTTCCTCTCTGTAACTCCT